GTAGCTAACATTATTCTTTTTCTTTTTTAAAGATTTTATTTATTTATTCATTCATTCATTCATTCATTCATTCATTCATGAGAGACACACACACACACAGAGAGAGAGAGAGAGAGGCAGAGACACAGGCAGAGGAGAAGCAGGCTCCATGCAGGGAGCCCAATGTGGGACTCGATCCTGGGACTCCAGGATCACATACTGAGCAGAAGGCAGACGCTCAACCACTGAGCCACCCAGGCATCCCTGCTAACATTATTCTTAAGAGTGAAAAGTGGAAAGATTTTCCCCTGAGAAAAGGAAAAAGACAAGGATGCCCACTCTCACTATTTTTATCCGACATTGTATTGGAAGTACTAGCCACAGAAATTAGTCAAGAAAAAGAAATAAAAGAAATCCAAAGTGGAAAAAAAGAGGTAAAATTGTCTCTGTTTGCAGATGACATGAAATCATATACAGAAAACCCTTAAAACTGCGCCAAAAAACTATTAGAAATAATAAGCAAATTCAGTAAGTTGCAAGATACAAAATCAATATACAAAAATCAGTTGATTTTCTACAGACTAACAAAGAACCATCAGTAAGAGAAATTAAGAAAAGAATGCTGCTTACAATGGGTTCAAAAACAATAAAATATTTAGGAATAAATTAAACAAGAATATGAAAGATCTGTATGTTGAAAACTACAAGATATTGATGATAGAAATTGAGGAGACACAAATACTGTAAAAATATTCCATATTCATTGACTGGAAGAATTAATATTGTTAAAATGTCATATCATCCAAAGCAATCTACAGATTCAATGGAATCCTTACAAAAATTCTAAGAACTCTTTTTCATCTATATAAAACAGAATCCTAAAATTTGTATGGAAACCTGAAAGATTCCAAATAGCTAAGCAATTTTGAAAAAGAAAAACAAAACTGATACCATCACACTTCCTGATTTCAAAACTTTAGTAATCATGACAGTATGGTATTGGCATAACAAGACACCTAGATCAACAGAACATGGTAGCCCAGAAATAAACCTGTTTTTAAGTGGGCAATTAATTTTAAATAAAGAAGCCAAGAATATAACAATGGGGAAAGTATAGTGTCTTCAATAAGTTGCATTGGGAAAAGGGGATAGCCACATGCAAAAAAGTGAAACTGAATCCCTAAATCACTATACACAAAAATAAACTCAAAATGGATTTAAAACTTGATTGTAAGACCTGCAACCACGAAACTCCTAGAAAAAAAAAAACAGAGGTTAAGTTCCTTGGTATGTATCAGTAATTATTTTTTTTTATTTGACACCAAAAGTAAGGCAACAAGAGCAAAAATAACATGTTGGACTATGTCAAACAAAAAGTATGTACAACAAAGGAAACCAACAAAATGAAAAGGCAGCCTATGGAATGGGAAAAAAAGTATTTGCAGACCACATATCCAATAACATGTTAATATTCAAAATATACAACGAGCTGATATAAGTAAGTAGTAAACAAAGAAAAAATGGGCAAAGGACCTAAGCAGCTACTTTTCTAAAGATGATAAAGAAATGGCCAACAGGTATGTGAGAAGGTGCTCAACAACACCAGTCATGAAGGGAATACAAATCAAAAGCACAATGAGATATCCCCTCACACCTGTTATGCTGTCTGTTGTCCAAAAGAGAAGAGATAATAAATGCTAGAGAGGATGTGGAGAACAGGAAAACCATGTAGTGTGCTGGAAATGTAAATCCGCATGGTCACTATGGAGGACAGTATGGAGGTTCCTCAAGAAACTAGAAATAGAACTACAGTAGGATCTAAGAATCCCACCACAGGGTATATACTGAAGGAAACAAAATCAATTCTCAAAGAGATCTCTGTACTTTCTTGTTCACTGCAGCATTACACGTACTAGCCAAATATGGAAACAACCTAATTGTTTATCTACAGATGAATAGATCACACACACACACACACACACACACACACACACAGCACACACAGAGGAATATCATTCAGCCTTAAAAAGAGTGAAATTGTGCCTCTGTGATAACATAAATGAATCTGGGGAGCTTTATGCTAAGTGAAATAAGCCAAACAGAGAAAAAGAAAAACTGCATAGCATCACTTATAAGTGGAACTTAAAACAAAACACAGTTGGTCTCATACAAATAGATTTTAGAGTATTGGTTCCCAGGACCGAGGGGATGAAGAAAATAGGAAGAGGTTGGTGAAAGCGCACAAATTTTAATTTACACTACAAATAAGGTCCGAAGCTCCAATATATAACATGGTAACTATAGCTTCTAATCCTGAAATTTTCAGAGAGTAAAACAAATGTTCTAGCCAGGAAAAAAAAAAGGTAAATATGTGAAATGATGAATGCGTTAATTAACTTCACAGTGGGAATCCTGTTGCAATGTATACATATGTCAAATTATTACCTTGTATGACTGACAACTCTACACCCTTTCTTTCACTGTCAGCACAAAATCTAGTGACTCTGTTCTTTATCTCAAAGATGAAGTTGTTATTTAAGCTCATATATCATATGCGTTCCTACACCATACTATGTGCTTATTGGAACTAAGCAGTTGGAACTGAGCATCCCTGTGGTGTTTATTGAACCACAATCAAGTTATCTGATCAGTAATGGATGCCGGTTTTCATTTCCAAAATAAAAACAGGCAAGTAGGATGAACTGGTGCCACTTTAGGTCACTGTCAATTCCAAACTTTCTGATTCTATGCCCAGACTTCTGATCATTAGCAAGATTTATACTTTCTAATTAGCTATTTATAAATCATCAAATTATTTTTCTACGAATTTTTTATGACTTTACTAGTTTTCATGGCTTTACTAGTTTTCTGTGGCTCACTTAGATTTCACTGATCATCTAGGCTGCCTATAACATCTGGAAGCATCACCTCATTTTTAAAATCTAATATCTTAATATTTATAGAAATATACTGGAAGCAGTTTTATGAACTGCTGCTGTCTCTTTTAGAGAAATTTTGCTTTCCTAAAATTTTGAATTTCCTGTCCTTAAGCATTCTTTCAATGATACTAACTAATCAAAGTTGGAAATATTTCCATAAGTTGGTACTGTGTAAAAGGACTTTGTGAGTAGCCTTATAAAATTTCAAAAGTGTTTCATCCACTTAATTAAATAAAAACAATAAACTACAGTTTTTACTGTCATATAGTGGGAACTCAATACTCCCATTAGTCATTACACAGAAATATTTATTCAATAAAGTAAAATACATTAAATCCTGAGTATTTTTACAGTTTTCAGAATTAAAAACTACCCTACATATTTAATATTTAAAAATTTATTAAAAATCTATTCATTCACTGAATAATTATGGAAGACCTACTGTGATTGAGTTCCTCTGTCAGGTACTGAAGATAAAATGATTTCTCATAGTCATAGTCCTTGTGTTCAGTGAATTTAGTGTCCAGTTGGAGTAGCATACATCAATTTAAAAAAGTCATTCATATTAAAGTAACATTCAAATGTTAAGAGCTACCTAGGAATGTGGTATACGAGAGAGTATATGGAGGGAGAGACAAGAGACTTATTTATTATGCTTTATGATTTTGATGCTAATATTATGAAATCTCTGTCATCAGAATCCTGTGCCCATGAGTGTTTGTCTCCAACATCACCTAGTAAGTGACAGCACTCAGAAAAGAATCAACTTTCATCACATCGTTTCCTATTTACCAAAGTGATTGTCAGGAAGGTTATGGGAATAAGCTTCAGGGAAGTTTCTGGCTGTAGTTCTGTCTCAAGTACCCTTACAATCTATTCATACATCCTTGGCATTAGCATCTCATTAATTTTTTTAAGGAGGATAGAGTATAATAGTTCTTAAAATAATAGGAAAGGGTACTTACTATGGCTAACATTTGCAGTTATTTAATACTGGAACATACTCTAGTGTCATTCATGTTGTTTGGAATGTGTTTCTCTGAGTGTATATCTAACTATGTTTAGCTTCCTATTTCATTTGCTATTGTGACCTGTATAAGGGCTTCATCACACTGGTCGAAAGATTACTTTTAGCAAAATGATCACATTTCCCCAATGCTACTGTGACTATTAAATCTATACATCTATACCACCCACTACTGAATTTCTTTCTTGGTCTTTGAGGTAAGAGTAGAAATAACTGTTCACACCAAATAGTTCCATTATTTTAAAAGATGAAATGTCATTTGGGCAAATAAATACTACTTCTGTATTATAGAGTACAGAAATTTTTCTCTTTATTTTTTCAAAACAAACTTTTCTTTGCCTATTTTCTCTACCAAAGTTACAGACTTTCATAAGGTACAGACATGAAAATACATTTATCTTCAGAACCTTAAAATTTTACTTAGATTTGAATAGCATTTCGTCATATAGCCCAGGTTTTCTCTATCTTATATGTCCCCAAAAGACATAACAGGGATATACTGTTGTCAGTATACTCGATAAACCTTGGTAGGCTCTATTTCCTATTTTAAAGTCAAAGAACTTGATTTTTGTAAGTGCATTTTAATCATCCACTACATAATTTTTTTAAAAGGTGTATTTATCCTATGGTTTATATGGTTCATAAGTTTTAGAAATTTAATATCAGTGTATTATGCCTCTTACCTCTATTTGAAGATAACAAATTGTCCTTTTTAAATATTTTTAACACTAATGACTTACTGCAAATAGCATCAAATAAATGTATCAGCTTTGTTTGCGATGTCGTTAACAGCAACTCATTTATTATAATGCCTACCAGGTGTTAATAAACAATTTTTCAATGAACAAATGAGTGGATGAATAAACGAGTGACTTTTGACCATATATTTCAATATACATATTATAGTTACAGTGTAATATTTGTCATCACAAGGTATTTGCATTAAGCATTTTATAATCCAGTTTACCAAAAAAGGTTACAAAATATTAATATGAATCTGATGATCAATGTTTAAAATTACACATTCAGTAAGGAATAGGCTAACCAATACATACCATTATCAAAATATCTGACTGTTGAATTTCTGGATACACTGGGATCAAAATTTGCCATTAAAGGTGCTATGTACTGTGTGGCTGTTAGCATTCGATGTACAACTTCTCCGGTGTATATGAAACCTGTCATTGCAAAAACAGGAAATACGTTAAGGAAAATCCCAGATAAAATTTTAATTATAATACCTCCAACTTAATTGTAGTCACATTTTGAAAATAAATATATAGTAGCTACAAAAAGGAACATAATTAATGTCTTAATGTCCAATCAACAATAGTCAGGTCTGGATTAAGCAACAAAAGTCTCATAATTCTGTAGTACCTCACAGACTGGTAAATCAGAAATCTAGAATGTGTACAATTTTAATTGTGGGAAAAGTGGCTATTTTCTGGAAGAGATTATTAGGCTAAAAACCCTACTAGAGTATGGTAAGTAATTCAAATATTCAATCTGCCATTATTAATCTCTTGTTATTTTAACACTTGCTGAATATGCAAGTCCTTTTTACAAATGAATGCATCTTCATGACGTTTAATTGCATTTTCATGAAGTTTAATTGCATTTCCCAAACTGTAATCTCAGTTTGGGTCATTTTAGAATCCGCACATGGATACCTTTAACACTAAAATGCAGAAAATGTTCTGGACTTTACTTTCAAAATTGAAAGAATGTTAAACACCCATGGGAAAAGCTTGTACATTTCTGAGTTTTAATAAAAGTAGCATTCTATCAAGAAGAAAAATGTTACATGTTGCAGATAAAATGGCAAAACATTGATAATGCACAAATGCCTCTCTGTTTAGAGCGTTATCAATTGCAGCCTATTCTAGTGGTTGGATAACGAGAGAGAATTAACTATAAAGAACTTCATATTGAATTAACTTTCAATAGTTCCTATGTTACAACCCTATTCACTTCCAATTAGCTACACTGGCTTTATTTATTTTGTGGATTATCCATACAAAATTGTTAATCCCGCCCTGGCTTCTTGCCTCCAAAGTCTTTAGCTTTCTAAAAGGAGAGTCAGCTCAGAGAATGATAACTAATTTTAATATTAATCTAAGAAATGCAAAATTAGGGCAGCCCGGGTGGCTCAGCGGTTTAGCACCGCCTTCAGCCCAGGGCCTGAACCTGGAGGCCTGGGATCCAGTCCCACGTTGGGCTTCCTGCATGGGGCCTGGTTCTTCCTCTGCCTGTGTCTCTGCCTCTGTCTCTCTCTCTGTGTGTGTGTGTGTGTGTGTGACTCTCATGAATAAATAAATAAATTCTTTAAAAAAATGCAAAATTAAGAACGTATATGTAAACAGGCACACACACAGGCACACACACACTTAATACTATAAAATAAAACCCAAAACAAATTATTTGTGATAATGCAATTGTAATGTAATGTTTAGGCAATCACAGGCTTACTAAACACCTAGGACTACTATAGATCATTTTTCTATTTTCATAAGAATTAATGAATAAAAGAAGCATGATTTTTAAAAACCACAAAATTGTGGTAAAGCTTCTGTGACCTTACTTTATGGTCTGAATAAAGCTTTTATTGGTGTATTGTGGTCTTATAATTTCAGATTTTCAGTTATAATTTCTAGGTAAGTTATTAGAAATTTAAATCTGCAGTTATTTACTTTGAAATGAATTTCTTTCTTTTTTTAGCAGTGTCTTCTTTCCCTTGATTTGCTTTTCATTTTTCATCAAGGGCATAATTGAATTTTACCTATTCACCTTTAAAAGTATATTTTTTAACTAGTGAAATCTTTACCATGTATTTTAATCATTGATTATATCTTGTTTCTCAAATGGCAAGTAATATCTTTTAAGATAAATTCCCTATATCTTGGAGCAGAATTTTGTACATTTGCAATTTCACATAGCTCAGGTGTACTAAAAGATGGTAAGATAGGGTGATAAAGTCACTGTTTTTATTTTATTTCCCTGTAAATTTTCAGAATCACCATCAATGTTCAAAGCCAATTATTACATCCTTAAAATTATCAAGATGAAGAATAACTACTTTTCAGGACCTACGATTTATTTTTCTTCTTTCATCAGCATGCCTTTATAATTTCACCATTAAGGTGGCTACAAAAATCCTGTAAGGAAAAGATTAAATTATACTCTGAGAATGTTCTGTGAGGGACCGTGGCTCTGGATAGTTATTTATCTATTCTCCATGTACTAACAGAAGAAATTTCATTTGATTTAAAGAAGAATGGGGGGGGGCAGCAATTCATGGCAGTATGATAACTGTGAATCAATATAGAATTAATTTTCCAAGGCAAGACTAAGAAAAGCAGCAGCAATTCCCAGGAAGACAGAATTGCAAAATGCAGGACCACTAATGATTTCAGATACCTAATTCTTAACTCCTTAACTGCTGCTTCCTTTCATCAGGAAAAAGTTTTTCAGAATTATAATTTCTGAAATTTCAAAGATGAACTCTCACATTGTTCCCAAGGAAGTAAGTAAAAATAGGGAAGAATCTGTGAATATGTAAAAACTATAATTATAATTCTTGATTCTTCTATGATTGTGACATTAAAATAAATTATTATTGCTGTTACTGTAAGTAGTACAGTTGCTACAGCTACTATGAACAAAGAATAGCTACCATAACTTCAAACATAGCTGCCCCTGCTCTTGATCTATCGCCACTATTACCACTGTCACCACCCAGAATAATGTGAAAAATAACCCAAGGATGAAAAAAAAAAACCTTATTCCACAATATGAGTTTAATTTTGTGAATTCTGAGAACACTTGCTTGTTTTCCTTAGCCAATTTTGCAAGCCAACTCCTAGTTCTTGGTGACCCACGAGTGAAATGCCTCATGGGGATGGGTTCTACTTAGTCTCATCACATTTCTAAATTTCGAAAACGTCATTTCAGCAGTGGCTAATAATTGAGTGAGAGAGAAACCTCATAGGCCTGCTGAGGGCAGGGAAGTGTGATTAGGTGTTGAATAAGAACCAGCTGTGCAAATTTAAGAGTCCTTTTGTGAAGCAAAACTTTTCCAAAGCTTCAAAGGCACTTAGAGCTGTCCCAGACCTATTTAGACATTTATCTCCTTTCTTGAGCTTTTTGGGGCATGCTCAGTTGTAGAGAAAAACATGTATTTCGTTTTTCTGGTTGTTTACATTTTGGAGGAATTCAAACAAAATATATATTTTTTATTTTTTTCAAGCTTCTTTGTAGCCATGTGAAGGGCTAATCATAAAATATCTCCTTTGATCACTACATGCCTCTTATCGAAAATGAGTTCGAGGAAGGAACAAGCCATTTTCTCTGTGAAAATTCTAATACCTATACTCTAGAGCACAGTCATAGTGACCTCAAATCCTATTTTGGCCTCTGTTTAATCAGTAAATTCTACAGATAGGCTTACATTTGATTCCTCTATTGCAATTCACAAGTGAGACTTTAATCAGTAGGTGAGTGACATATGATTACAGAATTTATTTAATGATACAAGGAAATTATACCCTAGTGGTGTGACTTAATTACTTGACATCTTTGAGCCTCAGTTCTTTCATCTGATAAATGGGGGAGTAATCATTGGGCTGTTGTGACAGCTGAACAAGTTGACACATATGAAAAGCACTTAAAAACAGTGTTTAAGATAAAAATTTGCAGGAAATAGCAAACACTTAAATTTCCTCTAATTTTTACCTCTTGAAGTCTTTTGTGTCTAATGTATACTAGTTGATTGGATTGAAACTGGGAGCTTTATATGACTTCAAAATTGTGCTTCATACCCAAATGGTATGATATGAGTTTCTTTTTGTTATTCCAGTTTGGATTAAGGTATGCCATGGACTCTAACTACAGGGCAACATATAATTAAAAAACTTTAATGTCTAAAGTTCTACATTTGAGATATCTTCCCTTCCCTGCCGTTCTGATGGAGTAGGTGCCTTGTAAAAATAGTAACAACCTATTGGTTGCAAATGGTTGTTTCATTTAACTGGATGTGTCAGAGTAATAAAGGCTATAATTGCCTGTGAAACATTCTATGAAACTTTAATGTGTAAAAGGGCTACATAAAATATTTTATTTCCTCACTTTTCAGTTGATATTTTTGACCCCAGAGGAGAGGTTGGAGCTAATGTATATGCCTACAGGGCACTGAAAATTAATACTTAAATGCTCCCTTTAAAGTACAAACGACTGGTGTATGTCACTGTTGTCACCTGTGTGATGTGTCTACCATGATCCCTACATGCTAATCAAATAGCTCTGAAATTTATGGTCCTCGTTCCATGAGGATTTAGAGAACAGATTCCTCATACTGACCCCTCGCTAACTTTATATATGATCTGTTCCCTTTCTATTCATGAAAACCTGAGTTATTTCACTGGGTGATGGTTGCAGGTATTGTTTTGTCAAATTGCTCAGTATTTGTGGCAGACAACTGGCTGGAAGCAACCAAGTGAAATCTGAGTATAATTCAACTTACATTATGTACAAATGGCATTTTATGAATCATGATACATTCTCCCATGCTATAAACTACCCCCTTTCAAACAAATACTTGTTTGTAGTTAAGTCAGCCTTTTAAACAAAGCCATATGTGGCAGCAATTGCTAATTTGAAAATTAACTTGTGGTAAGTTATCTGGTAATGTAACTGTCTGCCAGCTGCAACTGTACAATGACAGGTTTCATGTAACAGGCTCCCTCTGGACAAAATTGTTGCTCATAGACCTCAAGGTTCACTGTGAGGATACTGGTTTGTACATGCAACCTAGATGGTTAAAGAAAAAAAGAAAAAGATAAAACTGCATTTCTGAGGTTCACGTGAGCTTACTAACTACTGGCTCCTGGGAAGTAACCTTAATATTGTTACTCACCAAATATTTTCTCTTTAAAATACCAACCAGCTGTGAAGGCGAAATATATCAAATATATTTTCTATAATAAAAATTTTAAATATATATGTTAAAATATATCACATCTCCTAAACTCCTTTATTCCACTGGCTTAAGGCACCACAGGGAATTGCAGATCACAACGAAACCATCCATTGGGGGAAAAAAAAGCAACAAGGGACAATTTGGTTATTGGCTGCAAATTATGTTCACAAAATTACCAACATAAAGCTTTATGTTGACTATTTA